CTTATTCTTATATGATGTGGCTGCTTTCTCTTCTCCCAAAGCCCTGCAACATAGCAGAACCTTAATTCACATGTATTTACTGGTTTCCAATGTGTTTTCTTGTGGCTGAGATACCTATCAAAAAGAAAATAGTGGATGAAGTTACTAGCTTGCTTCTTCCCATTATGCTCATTGTTCTGTGGGTTTCTTGCAACTAACACTTGGAGTAAGAGTAGTCTACTGTCTGGAAAAACTTACATCTTTCTCCAGCTGATTCTGTGCTTTTGTTCAGCTATTTTATCTTTGTGTCTGTGTCTGTGCACATTATTCATATTGTATATCAAGTATACATAAAATGAATAGAATAAATTTTTTATAAAAAGACTGACAAAAAAAATGCCTGCGAAAAGGTGTAAGAATTTTTTGAAGGGATTTTTTTTCACCTGAAAGTTGGCAATATTCAGTTTAGGAAATCTTTCTTATGAAGGGGATTATAGATTTCATAACACAGAAACTCGACTATGGACTTAGTAATGTGGGGGCCAAACAGATGGGTTGTGATTACTGCAAGTCTGAATAGTGCAATATTCAGGTTAGATAATACCAGGTTATGTTTAATACAAGTCAAAGTTCAATTACTGAGAGTCTATATGAATCAGTGGTGGGATCCGAATCCCATTGCAACTGGTATGGTGCAACGGGGCTAAGCATCCACCACATGAACGCACGCAGCACGCATATGCATACTTACCGCTTGCGATGTTCCGTGACGCCTCTGCGACGTTCCAGCTGCTCCATGCACAGGCCCAGAAGCCCTGAACAGCTCAAATACAGGTAAGGAATGTGGGCAAGCAGGTGGGCCTTCTAGAGCACCGTACAGGAATGGTACTTGGTGCTCCTGGCAGGCACTGGTATGCCTGTACTGAGGCGTACCAGTCGTAACCCACCGCTTATATGAACACAATTGAAGCTATTGCATGGGTAGTTGCTGTTAGGCTTTTAGACACTATTTGTGTGAAAAATGGAAAAAAAGATGGCTAAAGAAAACCTCAAAAAAAGAAGAGGGCTATTTTGAAGAAATAGAGCAGAATACGGGAGATAGCAGGTATGTTTTGCACATGGGCTTATCCTCCAGCTTGTACTTTGTCCCCTTGATTTATTTATTTTAAATATTTATGAGATCTATCTAGAAGAATTCACAGCAGGTGATTAGAAAAAAATTGCATTATAAAAAAATAAAAGGAGGTAAAACCACATGAAAAAATAATTGAAAGATGGTCTACGTAACTATCTTGCTACCACTTCCTGCATTATCTACAGCTTCTAAGGGAAGATTTATTTAAAATAATTTATACCTGTAAATATATTCTTTTAATCTTTTGCTATTATATTTCATTAAAAAAGACATTTTAAAAAAATTAAAAAAATAATATCTGCACAGAGCTGAAACCAATTACCCTATTTTCCCTAGAAATATCACTTTGAATAGTGAAAATTCTCAACCATTTCACGACATTCATTATCAGCAGTAATCAAGACCCACCTGTGTATCAAAACAAATGAACTCACCCCTTTGGAAAGGCTCCTAAAAAAAAAAAGGAGTGAAATTTTAGTTCACCATTACTTTGTCTTTCAAAGTGTGGAGACTACTTCAAACCTAAGATACTAAGGGATTAAAATAGCCATCACTTTGGTCATCACTAACCTAAGTAGAAATCTGCCCTGAAAAGGAGATTGCATTCCATATAGAACAAATTTTCCATCTGTTCGACTTGTAAAATGCTTTAATTGAGGATAGCATCTGATCACACCCAAAGAATTTGCTCAGAAGAACTTGCTCAGCATATTATTCATGAAAATGTAGTCTGGGCAGACACTATTAAAGTCTTAGTCATAGTAATTGCTCAGAGGCCTTTCTAAAGATGTGTCTGTTCACTGATGTTTTTGAAGAGTGTTATTGTTTTGTTTCTTAAAGGGTAATGTGTGTCAGAAAAGATTTATGTCAACAAAAGGACAGGCTTGTTTGGTTTGTCAATTGCAAAAGCCTACTGGGATCTTTATTTCAGATTCTCTCAATAAAGGTGGTGGCTTGACAATATGTGAAGTGGGAAGTATTTCTTTTTTCAGTTAGACCTATTTCCTTCAAAAAGATATTGCACTCATTGGCAATGTGCCATATTTCCTTGTTCCTGTCCTCTGAGAGAGTAGAAGAGAAAGAAATCCCACAGTTGTGCTCTCGAGATTTTTTAGCCCTTTGAGGTTGTCTCTGTGAACAATACTGCAAGATTTACAAAAGTGGATTTTAAGGATGACTGTGGTTTATATTATTGCCACAAGGGCACTACTGTATAGATTTTACTAAAACGAATAGAGCATCCACAACAATACAATTATGTATGTATGTTTGTAGGTGTGCAAATGCATGTATATCATTTATATAGCTGCCCATCTTATGCAAACGCTGGGTGGTTCCCAATCAAGAATTTAAAACGTTTCAGCATTAAAACAATATACAATCATATTAAAAATATTAAAACCATAAATATTGAAAACAAACTCCTTGAACCAAGGTAAATGTGTGACATGTATCCTAGTCCAGGTTTATAACTATGAAAAAGTCAGTGTGTTAATAAAGAGATCAACAAGTGTTTTGGAATTTTAGAGGATCATATTGGTACTTTCACAGAACAATTGCCATGATAGGTGCAGCAATGGAAAAAAACACCTATTTGCCAAAAGGCAAATGAAACTTTAAGCCTCAGCTACCCATTGTTTTATCTTCCAAAAACTTCCAGCATCTTTGTCTAGTCCAATGATGGAAAACTAGGTTATGTTTTAGGTTGGTACTCTGTTTCGTAGAATGCTAGTTTTCTATTTTTTTAAATTGAAACAATACTTTTAAACAATGTTAAGTCAAATGATCAGTGAGCACCAAAGAAATAGTGAACACATTTTAGCCTTCAGACCTTATATTGTGTTTGAGATGCAGGATTTCGTGTAATATGCATGAGTTGTGATAAGTATCTGAAATTTCTTCATTTCTCTTTGGCCAGGAGAGTGATTTTGGATTTTTTTTTCTGTTACTTAAACATATTTTGCTGGCTATGCCGAGAAGAATGTTTGTTACCTTTCTTTTTTCTTTGACTTAACACCAAATAGGGTTGAATTTTCTAATTCCCATTCCATTGCTTGTACGGAAGTACACAAGCATACTTCAAACTTCAGTTTTGTCTGTCTTCTGCTTGACTGCTTCTCTGTTGGTGCTCCACCCTTATCTGTCCCATCCCATGGGCAAATTATTGATTGGTGTACTTGATTCAGAGCAGCACATTTTCATATATAAAATTGCCTTCAAGAGCATCGCAATGAACCTGACTGATACTCTTATTAAACCTTAAAGCTGTTGTAATTGATGTAACAGGTACCAGTTCTGAAATTGGGAGATAAAAACCATTGAATATAAGCAACAATTTGTTATCTGGCATCTCTGTATTCTATGCAAACTTTAACCTTGCAAGCCATCAAGAAATAATTTATTAATCTGATGTATATGTCATCTTTTCTCAAGGAGCTCAAGATGTAGTATTTCTGACAGCAAATATGCATAAGAATTGAAAGTTGAAGACAATTTACGTAATTTCCAATTATAGGAAGAACAATCTTCTTTCATTAGTGCGCACATAGATGCACAATAAAATGTTTTTTCACAAACCATACTATTGTTATCTCATCGATGTTTGTATATTTCTCACTCCTACAATATTTTTCTTTAGGCTCTCCATTTATTTGTATACTTGCACACATATTCCCCTACAGACTGCTCCCCTTTTCTCCATTGACAAAATCTTTTCTCATTCACATGTGTGTATCTCAGGTACAGATATCCTTCTACATCTTTCCAAAGTCCAGCTTTATCTATCTAGTGCTTTAATATATTAAATTAGAACCTAGTTATGCATGTCTGTGGTTTGTAGAAAATGCAAGCTTAGATATACAGTACCTGTAATATTACACCCTTTGAAGTCATGTAGACATTACCTGTGGTATATTAAGTCTCCTGATGCTCCTATGGCCCCCAACCCTCCCACAAACAACAACAAAAACCCAAAACAAAATCCTAATGAATTAATAAAGAGATGCTAGTTAGGAAAGGGAATAAAGATGTGTGGATAGGACATTTGAATAATACGTTGTTGTTTTTTACTTTTGGTATTATACCTTTTTTTACTAAGGTTATTATGATTTTGCTTTAGGTCTTAGCTCAATCCCACACTTATTCAGAAATTGGCTGCTGTGTTCTGTTTTCTTCCAGACTAAGAAGTACAATATATGCATGTAGGCAGTGATAATCTATTCTTAGGGTTAGTGGGTAGCAAGAAATTGTATGACAACTCATTCTTATACCCCAAATCATTCAAATGAATGACTGATAATGTAGCAGCTGGGCTTTTTTTTTCTTTTTCTTTTGGTACTGCATAGCACATGGTATGTTGGCCATTTTCTTATACATTTTTTCTATCAGCCAGATATTTACAAATGAAAATACATTTGGAAGTATGGATGTACAGGAGCAGTTTTCATTTTAAGGTAGCTTCTGACTGAAGCACAAGGAAGCAAACTGCTAGAATTACTTTTTGCAATGCATTGTGTTTGAAGCTTTAGTGCAGGTCGGAGAATTATATCATGGGGCTTCCAGGCTGTACACATTCTGCTGGGTTCTTTGAAAGTCCCTCAATTGTAATTTTTAATATGAGAGAAAGCAGAATTATGAAAACATAGAGACAAGTAACAATTTATTTGAAAATTGTAAAGTATTATAATGAACTGAAATAGTATTTATCCTCAGTGTATCTCTTTTGTGGAGATTAGCACATGACACAATGTTCAAAGTCCCATTTGCAGCTATTGAGTCCAATGAAGTTACATAACCCTGTGTAGATATTTCTCTAAAGAGGCTTCCTACTTTTTAAAATTTTTAAATTTTATTTAGGTAATTTAAAAAAGGATGCTTTTTTTTTCAGGCCCTCCATCTGCTCCTGAGAACTTGATTTCCAATGTCAATGAGACATCAGTGAATTTGGAATGGAGTTCCCCCCAGAACAAAGGTGGCCGTGAAGATGTCTCTTACAATGTGGTCTGCAAGAGATGTGGAGCTAGTGATCTGAACCGCTGCCGGTCCTGTGGGAGTGGTGTTCATTTCAGCCCTCAGCAGAATGGTTTGAAGTCCACGAGGGTTTCCATTACAGACCTTTTGGCACATACTAATTACACTTTTGAAATCTGGGCAGTGAATGGAGTATCCAAGCAAAATCCAAGCCAAGACCAAGCTGTGTCTGTCACTGTGACCACTAACCAAGCAGGTAAATGTTTTATTCTATTTTCAATTCCCCACTCATTGGACCTGTCGCTGCAGTTTCTCAGTTATCCAGGTCATGGTTGCCCCAACAGGGATTTTTTTCAAGAAGCAACTGGACTTTGGTTTTTGAAGTCATTTTGCTTCTCATCCAAGAGACGCAAAATATCTTTAAGGAAAAAACATAGAAAGTCCAGTTCCCTCTTGAAAACGCACTTGTGGGACTCATTGGAAGTAGTAACAATTTTGGTGGGAAGAGGGCACATTTGAAATTTTAACAGCATATGTTGGATTTTGTCTTGAAATTCTTACCCTAGAAGATTCACCTAATCACCTAATGACTGAAATGTTTTCTTTGGCAGTATGTACTTGACTGTGTATGCTAATCTGTGACAATATGAGGAATCATATGACATAGGAAACATTACCTTTTACTGAAATGCATCCTATTCTTTCTTAAGCTGAACTCTTCAGCCATTAATTTGCTTCTTTTTATATGGAAGATAAGTTCAAAGGAGTATACAGATAAATTAGTTTTACTCAAATCTTGGTTCTAAACATTATGTCCCCTGAAAACTATCACTGAAATTAAATGAATTATTATTATTATTCTAAAATGTATTATTTTGACCAAAATATAAATATATATGTTAATATAAATAATATAAATCTTACTGTCAGTGTAAATATTTATATAATTTGCTTTCATCAACCATATGCAACATTTCAAAAATAAAATTGGCTTCTAAATCAGAAGGTGGCAATCCAACACAAATGAAAATTTGTCAGTAATTAAAGATAAAAGATCTGACCTTTTATTTGGACCAACATTGTAATTATACAATTTTTAATACTAATTAGTTTTAATAAAGCAAACCCCAACCATATTAAGTATTTACTAGGCAATTGCATAGTGTATATCTGCCTCTACGTGGGAGCAATATGATACTTTGCTAATAATATTTGTATTTATATTTTTAGGGTTGGAAACATAGAATGATAGGCTGCTGTAGCAAAACATGTTTCTGCTAAAATTGGCCACAAGTTGGTTTCATATTTTTTTCTACCATCTGATAGAAATATAAAAGTTTGGAATTTTACCACAATGGATTAGAAAATTCCTTCTCCCTACATTTTCCCTGGAGATTTTGCTTGTTTTTGATTAGTTTTCTATAGTCTTTGACATCTCTTGGTGGTTTCACTGCTACACTGCCCAAAAAAATGTAGTTATTTTAAAGACTTGTTTTGCTGCCAAAGCATTCCAATTTGATTCATTTTAGAAAAATAACTTTCTGTTATATTCTGATTAAAAGTAACAGGTGGTGGGCTCATAGGAAAAATGCATTTTTTTAGTTATTAACTTTTTGCATATAGTTATCAGTATTTGTTTCCACTGTAAATGAAAATATAGTACTATGGTGACAAAGATATAGATTGGTAATCATGAGTATTTTCTATTTTATTTATCAACTTGATGAAGTTTAAACACTATACTTGGTCTTGCACATTGCTGTTTAATTGTGAAGTGCAAAAAGTATGCTTCAAGAGATTCCTCCTATAATGAACCCTTAGGTTTCCGCCCTTCCTGCCTCAAAGGCATATTGCCTTAAGTGATCTTGACCTGACAGAAATATTCTTATTTACACAGTATGTGTGAGTCTGTATGTGTGCTTCAAAATAAAACATTTGCATTTATTTTTTAGTTTCAAGAACTGCAGGCTTAAATAGCAACAAATAAATACCATTTTGTGCTTAAAGTGAACATATGAATATGTTGCTATTTTAATGATTTGTGTTTCTACATTTATAAATTTATTTCAATAAGATTGCATCTTTGCTTGAAGTTTGATTTTTAAAATGGTAGCTTGCTGTTAATTCAGCTTGATAAGTTTTTATTAAAAATATCTGTGATATTCTGTAGGAACTGATGTTTACATAGTGGATAATTGTGGAAAATAGTTGAAGTTGATTATTTCAATTGCAATTTTCTAACAATAAACTTACCATCTAACAGGTAAACTAATGGAATCAGTGATATATGACATGTTGAATGGAATTGCTTCTACTACATACTTTGAGTAGCAAGATTGGATGCTTATAATTTATTAGTTCTGCTTAGATTTTCTAATCAAAATATTTTTAAATTTCTTTCAGTTCTTTAACTTCAGTGGGTTGGTTAGGTGTACAATTTTTTGTTCTACCTATGATAGTGATAAACTTTTTAAGTTTTTTGTTAAGACATTGTAAAACACAATGCAAGAATGTCAAACAATTCCCATATGTATTACATTAAAGGATTGCTTTCAGTGGGGAATCAGTTGAAACCTGCAGATGAACATTAGAAAATTTCAGGATATTCTAGTCTTATCTCCTGTTTTGTTGGCAGTCTTGTGTTCTTCTGAAGTTTGAATTTTTAAACACACACACACACACACACACACACACACGTGTAATTTTTTTGTCATTTGTTATCTGGTTAGGTTAACTTTAGTATTTTTTAA